CAAAGATCAATTTGTTAAATTGACGTCAGTTTTCATGCGTCTTTCCTGTTATTGATCATTAATTTCGCCATAACATTGTCAAAGTAGCTGTGGATCCACGAGGCGATAGCCGAGTAGATCCGCAGACTACGAAATTCTTTGTCAGTCACAGGACGGGCACATGAGAAACTGACGTCAGTTTAACAACTTGATCTTTGTACCTTTTCCCCCGTGACATTGAACTAGTGCTGAACTAGACAAAGGAAATCTTCCGTTAAAAAAAAGGAAGCCCACTCAAATCTCATGATTATCGAACAAACTACACCGAAACTATCAAATTGTCAAATTTGATAACGAGTTATCAAATTGTTTGCTCTCGCCCGTAAATTCATGTGTCTGTCCTCTTATTGACAGCCAATTAGCCAATGAGCGTGCGAGAATTTCTGCAGTAATCGTTAATAAAAGGTTTTACAGGCGGATCATGCTCTGCAGATAAAAGCCGTGGATGGCAGTAACGTAACGTATTATCAACGTTGCGTAGGTAGAGAGAGTGATTGGAGAGAGTGAAATGAACAATTTCAAACGACAGAAGCCTAGGAAAACCCATGTCATTTTACATCAAAGGTGACATTTTATTCCTGTGGTAATTTGTGAATACAATTCCGACCTTTTTCAAAAAGCGTTGGCGAACTGACATTGGACGTTGACGAATCGACTTCATACGTTGGCGAACTTGGGGAAACGACCGGTGCCGCTGAGAATGTCAGCGGCCTATGATTCGGCCAGCTTGACCACCCACCCACCCCCACCCCCTGCCATCCACCCTTTTCCGCGCTTCTTACCCCTGCCCCACACCTCACGGGTGCCGCCTCCATAGCATAATTTTGAAACAAATAAAACTGCAAAGCCGTGGAAGAAGATCCTGCTTGATTGAACGTTGGAGCTCGCAGGAGATCTAATCAGCCAAACTTGAAAACTAAAACGATGAGAAGTCAAAGACTGCAAGGCTGACACAACATGGTGTACTTAAAACGTGGTATATTTGCGAATTGAGATTGATGTACACGTAAGAGACATTCATCACAATAAAAACAGAACATTCTAGCCGAGGATCAAATATTCCTTGCTTCGACCCTGGACTGGCTTCGAGGAACTTTCCCGTGTAAGCCGTGCTCGCTCCCCTCCCGATACCCAGGCACATCGAAAAACGCGAAAGACTGGTGTCTAGATTTTTCTCGTTCCCAGATTTCCATCGGTCTGTTGTCAAAATGGCGGAGCACCATGCAGAGATGAGATGGATAGCAAAGTGACTTGTTTTCCAAAGTAGAATGTCTTCTTCGAGAATGGTTGATACAACGGTTGAAAGTGCCAGTGATCCTTCGTGCTCTTCATGTGCAAAGTTAAAGGAGGTTTGTGTCGAATCTTTCAAATAACCGCTTTTGTTCATGAAATACGTTTCAGAGACGTTTTCCTTTTGACATCTTGAAGGATTTGAAGGTATTCGATATGTTTGATGATTCTGAAAATAGTTACTGGAGCATTACTCCAGGCCACCGTGGAAGCTTTTTTAAAATCAACTGTTGCTATCTCGCTTTCTTATCACGTATAGTATATCAACATACAGAAGTAGCAATAATGTTTGCCTGTTTCTTGTTTGTATCAACTGATGTCTCCGTACATGTATGTACATGTGTTTACACCAGCGCAAGTTTTGCATCTACTCTGATGGATCTACCTCTTTTATGTGAAGGATTTAGATTTAAAAATTGGTTAAACTGCAGAGCACTGTGATTGTGAAGAAACATATGTGTACTGGAGAATTCATTCCATGTTTAATTTGTGCCAGTTTATTCCACTCACATACAGTACTCATTTCAAAGTGGGTCTTCTGCACACCAGCTTATAAATGCTTTTATTACGTAGCTAGGTCCGTGAGCGGGTAAGATGAACCAAATTAATCCTGCATTGTGATTGGTATTTTGACTGATTTATTGTAACTAATTTTGTTTGTTTGTTTTTTCTAGGCACTTGAAGCTTCAAAGAGAGAGCACTCACTGACTTTAAGGATGGTCAAGGAAAAGATAATTTCAACAGAGTGTGTATAGTTTTCACAATATCTTGATCACAATAATTTTTTATTGAAGAAGTATCATCTGTCCTCATTGCACCATGGGATGCAGAAGGCCTTATGGAAGGAGTATACATGTAGGTTACTTACTTGTGCGTGATGGTTTTTTTTGTTTCCTTTTTTAGTGAGCTGATAAAGAAGTACCAGCAGAAATGCCATGGTATCCTTTTATTGGTTGATAATTGATAAATGCTCATTATAAACATGATGACGAAAGCTGATTTTCATCTGAGATTATACTTTATGCAGATATGAGATTTCTATTCATGCATGTTCATGAATGTACATGTGCATGTACATGTAGTCTTTAAACTAGAATTTGGGATTCAATATTTACTTTCTACTATTATAATTGTTAAAAATCAATTTATTACAGTAAAAGCAGAGAGTTTTGTAAGAAATTGTTAGCTCAGGCATTCTTTTCTTGAGAATATTGGGGAAAGACAACAAAGATTTAAAAGATTAATGTACAATGTACTTTATTTCCATAGTTTTTTGCTACAAAAGTTGAAGATAATTATGTTTTGCTTCAGTTATAACAAGTTATTGGGAAGATTAAGATTTACGTGTTGGGTATACATTAGATCTTGGTGATACACATCTTGTTTCATTGATAATTAAGGTATCATGGTAGGTGGATTGACAGTGTTTGGAAATCGCGATCTTACGCTGGCGCTTTGAAAGAAAACC